AGCAAAAGGATGGTGGTTATAGTGTGTCAGTGCTAAGTTATCAAGAAAACATGTCAGTCATGGGAAAGAAAATGAGAAAAACTGCAAAATCACATGGATCAATGAGTGGATAAACAGACTCTCAGATGTTATTGATGATTATAGGAAAGGGGGAGTTGGCTTTAAAACTAGGTTTCCAGTTCACTAATTGACATTTCTTGAAGGTCTCCATCAGGTCTTACTCCCTTTTAAGCACTGAAAAACATTTCAGTAAAAACAAAACTGGCAGAAAATGCTGCATATGTTTCTCTTGCCAAATCCTCAGTGTGTATGTGTGTGTTGATCTGTTACCTTAACCTAACCTCATTTCCATACCCTTTCAGAAGTCAAAGGATGCCTTTTTTAATCCTCAAGATTTTGATTTGTTCCTCCTTCAAACTTTGATTATTATTTTGAAATATATGTGAAATGTAATCAAGCATTATTTCCTGGAAATAGAAGTTGAGTGTTATGCAATTCTTGTCCCGTAGAACTTTGTGGTAAAAAGAAAACCCCGGGAGGGGTGCCTTTTCATTATGTACACAGTGAAATCCTGCTCTCGGTAACATCAGACTTCACATTGCCATATGTTCGTCGCATTTGGCATTGTCTTTAGCTACATTCCTTCAGAAGTAAAAGAGGACTGTTTTAAGTTGAGCCATGAATGATCACTGGGAAATGCTTGCATTTATCTGCAAGAAAACCTTGGACTTGGACTTGTTAACATCTTGTAAATCAAAAATGTGCTCCTCTGTAAAGTACACTACTAGTTAACAACAAGAAGCTGTGTAACAATAAATAACTTTGTTCTTAAAAAAAAAAACACATCAGAAACTGAAATCAATGTAAGAAAAAGCAGCAATACCCTTTTAAATGGAGCTTGGGAGTTTAAGTGATAAAGAGTGATTTAAAACAAAACCAGCAGTGTCCTCAGACCACTGAAGGAATGTTATGGATTCTGCTTATCAATCTTCTCACTGTAAGCACTGAGAAAAAGTGACCAAGTGATTTAATTACATCTTGCTTAGTCAGAGCTTACAAAAGTAGTGATTTTTAGTTAATTAAAATCTTACAGTTGGAACAGTGAACTCCTAAACCCTTAGGGATTCAGTAAGTTTCAGTTCACCCTGTTTGCAATCTGCTGTACTCACTCTATTTCTGTATCTGGCGTCAGGCCACACCAATGTCACAAGTATTTTAAAAAATAAAACTCTTAAGTCTAGCTCAGCTCTTTCACTGACCTTTGAAAGAGTTACATAAGTTAAATCAGTTTTCACCTTTCCAATACATCAAGGTTTATTTTTTCCAAATAAAAAGGATATCACGAGAGAAGCAGGAATCATGGGTCCCTTGCAGGTATCTGTAATTTTATTAACATCTATGCTAAAACACCAAGTTGAGCTTGTTTCTCTTCTTTCCTATCCAGCTGTCAATGAGAGATGGCTCTACTGAGTAAGAAAAGGCTTGATCAGATTAGCACATGGAGAAGGAGATAACCATATCCAATAATGGAACTTTAATGAAAAAGCTTTTTTAATCTTCCTCCCCAGATTTTTAATTTTGAACAAATCTTAATGACTTAATAATTACTGTAAAATGATTTTGTAGAGAAGAAGGGAGGAACATGAACAGAATTCTGCTGTATGAATCTCGTGACATACTGATGCCACTGTTCTATAAAGGATGGAACTCTGAAAGATTCTGGTTTCTTTTCTTGTCAAACTCCGCCCACTTTTGGCTGTGTATATGGCAGGCCAAGTTAAGCTGCCTTCTTCTCTTTCCAATCATATTATAGCATTTGCATCGGCATTTACTAGTCCAGCGGTTTAGCTCTCAAATACCACTTGCAAATTAATTACTCTCCTGACTCTATCACTGCTTCCTCTTTATTACAGAGGGGCAAATGCCTCTCACATCATGCCATCTGATTGGAAAAGGAATGCCCTTTCCTCTCAGACATCACCTAGCACTCATGCACCTCTCTAATGCACTTATCACGTAATGATGTTATGTGGATATGTGTTACATCCCCCTTCTAGTCTGTAAACCTCAGCAGGGAAGGACTAGTGGCTGAACCAGGCACTTCCTCCAGCACCTAGCACGATGCTCTGCATACAATGCTGGACTGGATTACGAGTTGATGGCACCGAGGAACCTGGAAACGATATTATTATTATTATGGCTAATTCTTTCTTCTCTCCAATTGCTGGAGATGCAGAAAAGGCGATTACTAGTGGCCTTGATCGCTCCCACCTGAGACAGGGCCACATGAGGAACCAGATTCTCTGACACACAAACAAGCAAACAAAACCCATTTAACTATTTCAGGTCGGGAAACTCCTAGGGTCATGGATATAGAGCTAAAGGGGCCTTCAATGGCTACGCCTAGTCTATCCTCATTTTATAGATGAGGAAACTTGAAGCAAGTGACTTGTCCAATACCACCGAGAGATCAGGGTAAGAATGAGGGTGTGCATCAGAGGTGAGAACGGAACCCAGATCCTCTGATGCTGGAACTAGTGCCCACTCTGCCCCCTCAGAGAAAGCTCAGAGGCTTGGCTGTGATTCCTACAAACCTGGAAATCACAGAGAGGAAGGACAAACATGATTATCCAGGAGGAAGTAGAGGCTTAATTTTCATCCTGCACATACTTTGTAAGTGTGTGGTGAAGCCTGCTCTTCAATGTCTTGTGCAGTTTCGGTTGTAGAGACCAAGGTACAATGGATATATACCGAATACTGATTCCTGTATGGCACTGTACTAAGTCATGGTCAAAGATGGTCATTCATGCAAGGGCCCAAACACATTTCCCTCAATCCCACAAAATCTCAGATACCCATAGCAGGAACTAAGATTGGGGGACTTATATCTAAAAGAAATCTAGATAGGTCATCTAATTTAGCCTCAATATTTTACAGCTGAAGAAACTAAGGGACAAAGGTTAAACAATCTGTCTGTCATAGGTGCCATGAGCCGGGATCTGAATCTTGGTCCACAGACATCAAACACAGGGTTCTTTCCACTCTACCTTACTGCCTCCCATAAGACATGTGGACAGGGAAAAGCCATTGTGGTGGTTGGAAGGCAGCATAATGGTGTCTGTGAGTTAGGACAACAGCAAGGGAACCCATAAACCCAGTAGAGGCAGCTAAGAGCATAATAGTGGTGACAGGAGCAATGGGTAGGCATCGTGTGACAATATCAATTCCCACTCTCCATACTGACTTCAAGATCAGCATGCTCATAGCATTTAATGGGTTATGGGCCTTGTACACGTGACTCAGTTACAGTTGCTGTCAGAAAGTTCAAGACCTTTTAAGAACTGAATTTAAAAGAAAAGAAATAATTTTAATTCTGGATTTTAGGGACACCCCAGCTCCACTCCACTCTAGTTAACTCACTATCACAAACAAAGAACTGATTGTTCTTGGTGAAAACTGGCTGACCCTTAACCCGTGTTTTGTATCGTTTTTCATGGAGTCAAATCTGATTGAGAAAAAGAGAATTCTGGGGCAGCTAGGTTGCCCAGTGGATAGAGCTCCTGCCTTGAAGTCAGGAGGACCTGAATTCAAATCCGGCCTCAGACACTTGACACTTAGTAGCTGTGTGACCCCGAGCAAGTCACTTAACCCCAACTGCCTCACCAAAAAGAAAAACAAAAAAACAAAAAAAAGGAGAAAAAAAGAGAGAGAGAATTCCTCTCCCTCACTCTTCCTCTTATTTGTGTGTGAAATTTCCTCCCTGAGAAGGATAATTTGAGACTTGAACTTCTCTTTTAACATGTTCTTAAGCAAGAATGTTAAGTACTTAATCTAGGTAAAGATGCATGGTTTTCTTGGTTTTAATGTAAAAACAGGATTAACTATACTCAAAACCACAGACATTCATTTGCTTGTCTTACATATTTCCTGTCCTCTTCGTTGATTAATTTCTAAGACTGGATTTTTTTGTTTTTTAGTCCTTAAAGATATAATTTCATTATTGAAGGATAGACTCCATGTGTAACTTTTTTCAATTTCACACAGAAATTAGAAGGCTATACAAGCTCTATGTGGATAAACTATTTGGTTTTACCAACTTTAATTTGAGATATTGTTGGAAGTGTGGTCCAAGAATTTTAGAACACTGATCTTCAATCTTTTAATCTCTAGTTATTGGCCAGACATCAAATAAAATCTCTCTGTATGCTCCAGACCCACTATAGTTCATCTTCTGAAATAAGTTTTAGATGTTTCTTGATCTGAGCTAATTAAAATTAGCATCAATCTGGGGGAATAGTTTATTTTAGTATTGTGTGTCAGAATTCTTTTCATGGACTTGGTGGGAGAAAGAGGAGAAATTATCATTTAGGATTATTATGACCACACAATTAGGAAAAAGTATGAAAAAAATAACTTATAATACTAGGAAGCTCTGGAGCTTCTGGGAAATATGATATAGGTATAAATTCTATTTCTTCAAGCAAAGTCTTATAAAGAGATTCCTCTAAAGCTCCTCACCTCCAATAGGCTACTTCACCCGTTGCTGGTCCTCAAGTATCCCAGGAGAGGCTTTAGACAGAAGTAACACCTATGTTTAATAGTTTTGATTTTTAGCAAAGTGAGTTAACCACACCTCTGAAAGTCTTTCCTGTTCCCCTATTTACTGTTCTCTTCCTCCTCAAATTATCTCACCTGACCTTGCCTGTGTACATGTTGTAGCTCTCAGTAGAATCTCAGTTTCATGAAGGCAAGAACTCTCTGGTGTTTGTCTCTGCATCCCCAGCCCTGGCAAAGGGCCTCCCACAAAAGAGGAACTTCATAAATGTTGGGGAACCAAACTAAATAGTTTTTTTTTGGTGTTGCTAGTATGAAATTTCCACCTATAAATCTGTTTTTAACTTTTGGTTTTCAATTTAAAAGTGATCATGGGAAAGAGCTCTAGATAAAGAACAGTCATGTCCAATGTCAGTTACCACAATAACTGCATATGCTTTACTGACCTGATATAGGGCAATGCAGGATCCACATGGTGAAGAGTTATAGCAGTAATGTATGAAAAGATGAAAGCAGCAGCTGTCCAAATAACAAGGGCTGAAGGGAGAAAGCTGAGTCCTTGCTGAAACCACCACATCTCTATAGGACTTCTGAAGCAAAAAGGGAAAAGGTGGGAGAAAAATATCCAACATACATGTAAGAATAAGTGGGTTTAATGAAAGAGATCACCTCTCTTTCTATTAGGTTGTCCCACCTGTCTGAAACATATTGTCTCATGAGAAAAAAAGAAATACAGAAATTCATGTACAAAATCACCATTATCTATTTACCTTAAAATGATCTCTTAAAAAGATGAAGATACCAGCTAGTAAGGTTTTAAATGATAAACTCAGATTTGTGGTAGGCAATAAGGAACCAAGAGGGTATTGGAATTCCAACACATACTAATGTTGACACATGTCTATATTACAAGTTTCTAATATTTAACTCAAATATCTATTTTTTTAATGTAGAAAACATTGGATGGTGCCCAAGGATGAGGATTTATTGATTGGGAGCAGTGGTAAATCAGGAGGTGAGGGACTCCAGACTTGGAAGAAGAGAGACCTTACCACACCATTACAAACTACTACAGGCCTCCTCTCACGCTTCCCATAGGACTACCTCTATCATTCTTTCCAGACCAATCTATTCACCATACCCTTGATCCGCTACTTATCATCTACTCCTTCTTTCTCTCAAGCTTTGGCCCTCATCTAGAGTTTCCTCACTGTCGTAGCTCACCAAACTCTCTTTTCAAATGAATTTTGAAATTTTACTTCTTCAAATAACTTTCTCTAAGGTTAACTGGAAAGGTATCAGTTATAATTTATATCACTCCCTCTTTACTACCACTTAAATAAATGTATTTACTCTTTGTATTACATGTTTTAATTTGTCTCTTTTCTAAAAGCATATCCTGAATATGAATGTGTACATTATTACTGTCTATCTTGGGCTTTTAGCAACTAAGGCACCTGACTTTAAAACTCATTTTTCCAACTTAGCACACTAGGCACAGAACAGTACTTAATCCTATTGATGACACAAAAAATATTTTAGGGAATTGAAGGGAACAAGCATTTACATACTCCCTATTATGTGCCAGACACTGTGCTAAGTGCTTTACAAATATTATCTCATTTGATCCTAACAATAAGCCTATGAGATAGGTGTTGTTACTATCCTCATTTTACAGTTGAGGAAACTGAGGCAAATAGAAGTTAAGTGACTTGCCCAGGGTGACACAGTGAGTGTCTAAGACTAGAATTTAACTCAGGTTTTCCTGACTCCAGGCCCAGTGCTTTATCCCCTGTGCCACTTAAGCTTGCCATCTAGTAATACAAAAATGTAAAAATATTAAAGTACTCACTAGCAATTTTATATATATCTATATATACATATGTACGTATGTGTGTGTGTGTGTGTGTGTGTGTGTACAAATGTTTCTCTGTTATCGCCTAGTAGCTGAACCACAAACCAAAACACAAGGACTATGACTTGTACTATGATGTGGCTGCTAATTTACAATTTTTGAAAGCCACAACCTTCCAAGCCTTAGTTTCTTCTACAAAATAAAGGTAATAAAATAAGATACTTTCTTCTATAAAATAAAAGCAATAAAATAAGATACTTGCCAAAGTGCCCAAGTAGCAGTGACAGATGATCTGTTAAAAAAAAAAAAAAAGCACATATACAATTCAATTACCTGTCAATTTTCCAGGGTAACAGAGAGAAGCAGAGACATGATTAATTCAAATATATTTAGCTTATCTGGCTTACAAAATATATTTGCTTATTTTATTCAGTTCTGAATACAATACTTTTAAGAAATGTCATATGAAGAATAATTGAGGGCACCTGGGATATTTAGCCTGAAAAAGGATAAGTTTTTAATAGTAATCTTCAAATATCTGGAGGACTATCATGTATAAGAAGAAGTGGGCTTATTCCATATTATTCCAAGCAGAAAAATTAGAATCAACATATGGAAGTTAGAGAAATGTAGATTTTGGCCCTGAGATATATGAGGTTAACTAGTCAATTCCATTAAATTGGTACAGCTATGGCACTTAATCTTTACATGAACCTAGGAATCAGATAAACTACCTTCATAAATCCCACTAGAATTTACGCAATAAGGCTCCCACATACTCTCAAATACTAAAATGGATCTGTGATCTCATTGATGGAAGTGTCTTCCAACATACTTATCACAATTCATTCATACAAGTCCATCAGATGCAGCTCTTATCCACATTCTTCCATATATTTACCACAAGAGGTCCATCCAACATCTGAAGGCCTCTTCACTTTCTCCTGACATTATAAAGATACCAATGGAACCCTCTATCCATCCTTACTTCATCCCTCATCCTCTCCAGGTGGCCAGCTAATGTTTTGTTATCATATCATTCCTCAAAGACATCTTTGACTCTTGTTCTTCTTTGAAGTTCTCAATGACTAAAAGTTACAGCCAAAAATCCACCATGTGCTTTTACATTGCCCTCTGTGTGATCATTTTTAATTCTTTGGACACTTGTATTCCATGTTTCGTTGTTCTACAGAAATCCCAGTGGAATATTGTTATAAAGAAGGTGGGCCTTTGATTTCATGGAAAGTTCATGGCCATTTTCAACCTGCTCTGTACCTCTTGTTCAGTTCTGGGGGGACCCATTCATTGTTAATCTGCACTGCCTGTCCCAGATAAAATATCCTGATAGAAAAATTCTATAGGTTATCCATCCAAACGCATGTTGTAATCTGGGCAACAGACACTCTTCTCCTATTTGGCATGGGCAGGACAAACTCCAAGTGACTGAAGTTCTCTTCCAGAATGGACTCTGCACAGCTATGCAGGCTTTGATACAAGGCACACAATATCCTCTGTCATCAGGAGCATAAGGAGCACTTCACCATCCACCGTAGGTGCTCCTCCACTTGAGCTCAGCTCTCTTTCTTCTCCACCACAGCAGGGATTACAAGGTCATTAAAAAGGACTGTTTTTATTGTTATGTTATTCTGAGACTCCTGGTTGATTTTAATAGATCAGTGAGTCACCTTGTTGAAAAACAGCTTGTAAAGGGTGTTCTGCTCTAACAAATCAATTGTGCTTTCATAATCAACAAACAATAAGCACACTTGAGATCTTCTATTCTCTGCCTCTTTCATTCAATTGTGCAATGGTAAAGAGAGGATCCCTTGGTGAATATTGCTTGTATACACTCATCAAAGATGGCCTCTACTCATTAATAAATAATTCTTACATTCTGTATAAGTGGGAGAGTAAGTAAGGTAGGTTGTTGATTATTTA